TACATCTCCTCCTACATGTCTCTGCGTGAGTGCAGCTACAGCGTGCGCTCTCAGGACATTATTACCTGCAGTGTTCCCTCAGTGAGAACTGAACTAGACAAAAGGACCTTCTCCTACTCCGCTCCGGTTTCCTGGAATATCTTGTAAAAAAACCTGAAGCTCTCGACCTTGACCTCTCTATGTGGCTTCAAACATCTGATAAGTTCCTGGGAAAAACCAACGTAGACGTGCTCCTGTTTTTAGTTTTTTACATCGCTTTGTCAATTTAGCTGTTTTTGTTTACTTTTTAATAACATTTCCTCCATTTGCTTTTCATTTGCGTCTACCGTTATCCGTGTTCTTTATCAAACACAGGTTTCTCTTGTCAACGAGTCCTCGAGGCTCAATGAGACTCACCTGTATAAAAGGCTGAATTTAATTATTTTGAAGTTTTATAGAGGGAAAAATTAAAATAACTCAATATTGAGAAAACCCTGGGTCATATTTACAGAGCTGCTTTCTTTTTCTTAAACTTCAGCACCAATTAAACCTTTGAATTTTTACTTAGACAGCATCAGGTGCATTGAACAAGTAATGTTTTTTTTTTTTTTAAATAAAACATGTTAAATCATTTCATCTGGACCAGTCTGTTTAAGGGAGAAATGTTTCGTCTTCCATCCATGTGACTTCATCAGTATATAATTTATAATTTTCTTCCATTTATTTTTTCAATCTGTATGCCTCTTATGATTGTCCACCGTTGTCCATCACTCTTTGTTAAAACCAGGTCCCTCTTGTAAAAGAGTCCTCGAGTCTCAATGAGACTCCCCTGTAGAAATAAAGGTTGAATGAATAAAACTAAGGCAGATGAGAAGTTTGAACCTAGTTCGAGTGGTGCGCACACTTGGACCTGCGGGCACTTTGTATTGAACATCGCCTCCACAGAGTCCTGACAGCAGCAGAGGTCAGACTCTATAAACGGAGGATGGCCGACAAGGTGGAAGTTCAAATTTGTGGCGTTCTGGATCAAAGTTTATTTACATTTGAACAAGTTAAGAACACTCGTATGGCAAAGTTACATAAAAATTATGACCTGTTAAAACTTTGAGTAATGGTCTTGATGAGATGTCGCCCTGGGTAGATGCATACACTGCACATTTGAGAAACCAGCAGAAAATCTTTGTTACTGTAAATGTTAACATTTCTGACGTCCCACTCACGGTTAGCTCATAGTAAATGTTTAATATTGTAAAAAAGAGACATTTAGATTTTAAAAAAAAAATTTCTAACGAACTCCCAAGTTTAACGACAAAAACCTTTAAGGGCAGAAAAAAGCGAGAAGGACCAACTTGTCGATGAACATGTGGACGTCGTTTTGGCTGAGCTCGCGTCGGCCCTGCTGAAAAATGGACTTTTATGATTATACCGTCTCTACCTACACGCTGGAGTTTGTCCTCGAGTCTGGTGCCGCCGTGCAAAATCAACAAACTTGTGACATGCTCTCTAAGCAACAAAAGGTGAAGGCTTTGGTCTCTTCTCCCCAGCGGCCTTTTGTCACAGCTGCAGCCTCGAGCCGCCGTGAAGGAGAAGCAGCTGGATCTGCAGGTGCGTCGCCCCACCTTCACCGAGCTCTGGAGGGTCGGACGAGTCGACTCTGAGGTCAGAGGTCATTCTGGCTTCAATTAAACCTGAAGTTATAGCGATGATTAGGATGAAACTAAGAGACAAACCGTGTGCGACTCAGATTTGTCTGTCCCCCAAACTGTCGGTACAAGGAGCGCGCTGCACAGCTCAGCATGTGTCTCCGTCTATCCGTCGTATCCGAGCATCCTGTGCTCCAGCATCCTGTGCTCCAGCATCATGCTTTCATTCAACCTTTATTTCTACAGGTTAGTCCCATTGAGCCTCGGAGACTCATTTACAAGAGAGACCTGATTTTAACAAATGACGACAACCATAGACAATCATAAAAGAGGCACACAAATTAATTGTTTTTTTTGTTTTGTTTTTTCTTTACAAATTAAAATAAAATGGCAACCAAATTTGGTTTAATTTTGATTTATTTTTTCATTGAAATTTGAATCTAACTATTTTTGGAATTATTAAATTGAAATTTTTGCTGATTTTTGAACACCTTTGTCCTTATTTAAGTCTGGTCCCTCACAGAGACTTTAATCACGTGAATCTAAAGGACCGTCTCCCAAGCTTTTTTCAACATGTGTGCATACCAACACGTGGAGACAACACGCTGGACCGCGTTTACACGAACGTAAAAGATGCACACAAAGCTGAACCCCGCCCCCACCTAGGACTGTCAGACCACATC